ACCTGCTGACATTCCGGGGGGTCCATTCGAAGTTATTCTTCTTTTTGAGGGGTACAAAGAAATGATGGCATTTTTTTCCAAGACGAGAAAATGAATCTGCCCAAAGCGGCCAGTCTCCCTGTCAGTCTTTGAACCTCTTTTATGCTTGATATGTGGTTCGAGGTGTCTTCGATGGCTTTAATTTTGTCGGGGTTAACCTTGATCCCCCTTTGCGACACAAGGAATCCCAGGAACTTACCGAAGCTAACCCCGAATGCACACTTCTTGGGATTAAGCTTCATGTTGTGCTTCCTTAAGATGTCAAAGGTTTCTTGCAGGTGTTTAAGATGATCACCTACATTCAAAGACTTAACCAGCATATCATCTATGTAAACCTCCATAGTTTTCCCTATTTGTTTCTCAAACATTTTGTTTACATGCCGCTGGTAAGTGGCTCCAGCATTTTTTAGCCCGAAAGGCATTACATTATAACAATATGTGCCTAAATTCAGTATGAACGAAGTTTTTTCTTGATCTTTCGGGTTCATCTTAATTTGGTTATACCCGGAATAAGCATCGAGGAAACTCATTAACTCGCCAGCCATTGCATCAATCATTTGATCAATGTTTGGTAATGAGAATGAGTCTTTTGGGCACGCCTTATTTATATCCTTAAAGTTTACGCACATGCGAAATTTATTATTTTTCTTTGGAACTACTACTACGTTAGCTAGCCAGTAACAATACTTTACCTCTCGGATTCAACCGATATCAAGTAGTCAAGTTATCTTTTCTTTGACGAATTTGTTCCTAACCTCGGCAATACGACGTTTTTTCTATGTTACCGGAGGGATGTTGAGATCTAGGCTTAGTTTGTGCACGACCACTTATGGTGGGATACCTGTCATATCTGCATGCGACCATGCAAAACAATAAATATTAAATTTAATAAATTCGATAAATCCAGACCTGAGCTCGTTTAGTCCTGTCCCCAAGTGGAACTTCCTCTCTAGGAACTTTTCGAACAATGCGATTTGTTCGAGTTCTTCCGTTATGGATTTTATTACATCCGTTTCTTCTGGTACCTGAAAATAGCTTGGTACGTGATAGGATTCCGACTCCTCCTCCCCCTGGTTGACTTTTCTCAGCTCGGGAGCAGGCGCTGGTTCCTGTAATTGCGATGCCGCATGCTCATTTCCATCGCTACTAGAAACTGAGATTGCATTCATCTCCCTTGCTGCCGGTTGGTCACCTCTTATTTGTTTAATTCCCTCGGGAGTTGGGAATTTTTGCAACTGATGATATATTGATGGCATAACCTTTATCTCGTGCAACCATGACCTCCCCAGGATAATATTATAGCCCATATCATCGTCCACCACCTCGAAAAGGGTCGTCTTTATCACCTCTTCGGCATTTGTGGGCAGCAGGATCTCTCCTTGAGTTGTTACGTTCGCTAGGTTGAACCTGGTGAGGAGTTTTATTGCCGGAATGATACTTCTGGTGAGCTTGGCTTGCTCCAACACTCTCCACTAGATAATATTGGCTGAAAGTCTTGGGTCCACCAAAACACGTTTAATTTTAAAGTCTAAGATATTCAAAGATATTACCAATGCATCGTTGTGCGGCAACAACAATCCATCTGCGTCTTCCTTCGTGAAAGTAATGTTGTCCTCAGTGACTTCCCGAAGTCTTTTACTGTGGGTCACTGACACCTTCATTTTTTTCACCGCCGCAAATATCACACCATTAATCTCGTTCCCCCCGAAAATCATATTGATCGTCAAGCGTGGAGGATCTTCTACTGCTTTTGAAAGTTCAACATAATCACAATTGCGACTGTAGTTGTTTTTAGCTCGGTTGCTTAAAAATTCTTTGAGACGATCATTTTCCGGCAATGTCGCCACCTCCTCGCGCAGATGCCGATAGTCCCCTTTTCGGTGATCGTTGGTCCCATGATATTCGCACAAAAAATTAGGATCGCTTTGGCTGGGATCAGATCTCATTGGCTTCGAGAACCGTGTTGTAACAATCCGACCGGTCGTTTTGAGTATTTTAGCCCCAACCCCCTATTTATTGCCTTCTCTAGGCTATATTATGATTATGTGACTTGTCGGGGTATTTGGTTTGGATTTCGGCTAAGTTTCAGAGTAAAATGGGACACCTAATCCCTAAGTTGGAGGTTTAAGTTGAAAGAGTTGACCGTAATTTGACTTTTGTATAGATAACCCTGAAATGAGATTTTGAAGGTCCCAACAGCTCTGTATGGTGATTTTAGACTTAGGAATGTATCCGGACGTTGATTTGGAGGTCTGTAGGTCATTTCAGCGTGAATTGGTAAAAGTTGAAAAGTTAAGATTTGGAAGGTTTGGCCGGGAGTTGACTTTATTTATATTGGGATCGGATGTCGATTCTGGAAGTTGAAATGGGTCCGTCATGTCATTTATGACTTGTGTGCAAAATTAGAAGTCAATCGGAGTTGTTTTGGTATGAATCAATATTAGTTTTGAAATTCGAAAGTTCAAAAGTTCATTAGGCTTGAATCGATGCGCGATTCATGGTTCTAATATTGTTTGATATGATTTAACACTTCAAGCATGTTCGTATGATGTTTTAGGACTTGTTGGTATATTTCGTTGAGGTCCCGGGGGCCTCGGGTGTGATTCAGACCATGTTCGGCGCATTTCGGAACCTTAAGGATTGCTGAAGCTGCTGAATTTTCTAATATCTGGTTTCCTTCATCGCGTTAGCGAGAGAGGTCTCGCGTTCGCGAAGGGTATCTGGGAGGCAGGTTAGGTGTGTTCTTCGTGTTCACGTAGATGGCCACGCGTTCGCGAAAGTGTAAGAAGTTGTTTACCGTGTTCGCGTATGAAGGGTCACGTTCGCATAGGCCTGGGCTCAGTGTGTATCGCATTCGCATTGGTGATCTCGCATTCTCGAAGAGGAATCTGGCAGCTGAGAATTTTGTGCTTCGCGAACGCGGGGCACATTCCGCGTTAGCGAAGAAGGATAGCACATGGGTAGAATTTAAGTTTCAAAATCGATGGTTCATCTTATTTTTCATATTTTGGACCTAGAGAGCTCGATGTGAGGCGATATTTCGAGGGCTTTTCAAGGAGATTGTTGGAGGTAAGTGATTCTAACCTGGATTGGACTATATTTTTTGAATCTATTACTATTTTCATCATCTAATAAGGGATTTGAGTTGGAAATTTGGGAAAAATGGTAAGAACTTCCTAGACTAAATTTTCGAGTTTTGAAAGTCTATTTGAGGTCGAATTTGAGTAATTCGTATATGGTTGGACTCGTTATCGAATGAGTATTTAAATTTTGTAATTCTGGTTGGGTTTTGAGATGCGGGCTAGGGTTGACTCTTTATTTCTTTGCAAAGATCGTAACTTTATTATTCGAATTAGCTTCCTATAGTTTATATTTATAGTATGAAGTTGTTTTGGCTAGATTCAAGCCGTTCGGAGTTGGATAATCGAGGGAAAGGCCTACTAATGGATTGAGTTAGCATGATTTGAGGTAAGTGTCTTGCCTAACTTTGTGTATGGGAAATTATCCCTCAGGATTGGTGTTGTTTTGTGATAATTGTGATGTGAGGAAGCCGTGTACGCAAGGTGACGAGTGTGTACACGGGCTAAATATGGAAATTTACCAGTTTTAGCTATGTAGATTCCTTTCATGCCTTAATTGAGTTATCTTAACATGTTATATTCATCATCATTAGTCTATTTTCACATGCTTTACTTGTCTTATCTCTTTCTTGTTAATTGTTCTACATGTTTAGTTGAAGTCCTTGTTCCTTTATTCCATTTTCCTTATTTAACCATTAAATTCCTTATTTGAAGTTGTTATTCTTGGAATATCTTGTTGTTGAAAGTGACATTGAGCTATAAAGGTCGTGATTCACATTGAGGAAACGTGTTAAGTTGTGAAATACTATTCTTGTTGAGTTATGCACTTCTGGTTGTTATTGTTGATACTATTTGTGCACATTGTTGTTGAGTCGTGGGCTACTTATTGTAAAAATACTGTTGTTGTTGGTTTTTTTGGTAAGTTGTGATATTGGGCATTTGAGGTGCGATTTGTGATACATTGTGATATTGATATGCATGCGGTGATATAAGGTTTTGGTGTTGAAACGCATGCGGTGAGATAAGGTGGGCTAAAACGCGGGATGCTATTTCGGAAAATAATTTTCAAAACTAAATGCAAAGGCTCCCGCAGTGATATAAGGAAAAATTGTGATTTATTATTGTGATTTGAGATTACGAGGCGGTACCTCGGTAGTGACTTTTTGTTGGTATTACTCTTTTACTTCATTTGTGCCTAGTTGCTTTGTTTCCTTGGCATAACACTCCCTGTGTTCTTCCGTGGTGCATTAATTGCTTGAGTTCTGTGTGGTAAATTTTGGTACCTTCCTTACTTGTTTCATTTTTATTGTTATTATTATTGCACTGTTAAATTACTCGTTTTGCCTCTTATTTATTTATTTATTTATTCCAGTAGGGCCTTGACCTGATCTCGTCACTACTCTACCGAGGTTAGACTTGACACTTACTGGGTACCGTTATGGTGTACTTATTCTATACTTCTGCACATTTTTTTGTGTAGATCTAGGTACCTCCTACCAGTCGAGGCATCAGTGAGTTGAGCTAGTTCTCGGAGACTTCAAGATACACCTGCCAGCATTCGCAGGTCTCGGAGTAACCTTATATCTATTTCTATATTTTTCTTCTTTTATTAGACTTAGATATATAGGAATAACTATGATACCGTTGTAGAGCTTGTGAATCGATATCATTAGGTTTTGGGGGAAAATTGTATATGTTAGAGTAGCGAAGTTTTACTAATATATAGAAATAGGAGTTGAAGTGTACGAACACCGGGACGAACACCGGCGAAATGGTAATTATAGATGTTTGTCATGGGCATTGTTTTATTTTACTCTTTAAAATCAACCATTTTATTCTCCTCATTTCATGACACGTGTTGGTCTTTGTATTTTGGTCTTCCACTTCATTGGTCCCATTTTTCCACTTCAATATCAGCCATTTCGCTGCTTTCCTCCTCCTCCGAAAATGCTCTCTTTTTCTTCTGACTTTTCCCTCTTTCTTCATTTTGCTGTTTGATTCTTGGTAAACTCTGAGCTATGTTTCACTATTCTTTTCTAAATGTATTCTTGGTTCGTCTGATATCACATATTTTTGAAGTGTTGCATGTGAGTAATTTCTTTTACTTTAATGAAATTTTAACATAAGATTTGAAATTGGGGATGTAAAAAATTTCAATGTGACCAAGCAACTGAAACGCACATAGGGATTGCAAAGAAGCTGCTTTTAAGTAATCTCTGGGCGGCTCATATTGAGAGGTAATGAATGAACTTTTTTCTTCATGAACAAACTATTAAGACCTCTTTTTGGGGTTATTTTAATTTTTCATATCGATTGTCATGATTTTCGTTAAGTGGTATTCCAATGCTTATATATAAAAAGTGGATTGTATGTGCGAGCTTCAGACACATTGATATTTCATTTATACGGAATTGGTTCCAAAATGACAACCTCATAAACATGCTTCATTCGACTCTTTTATGGACTGAAATTGGGTGTTAATTTGGTAGTTTCTATGTTCTTTCGGATAGAGGTCTTATTAGAGATTTTCACATGCATTGGGTAACTTTATCGGATTTATACGCTGATGTAACAAAGGTATTTGATAATGTGCCTAAATGAACTGACCTTGCACTGCATGTGAAAGGGCTATTTGCAGTCTTTTCCTCTTTCAAATAATGATGTAAATGCAGATTTATAAAGAAGTAAACATGCTTCTAACTATCTTAATTGCCTTTAAAGGACATCTTCAAAAATTGAATTTGAAAATTATGTTTATATTCTTCAGGGAAAAATGTTATGATGTGTTTGGATAGGAGACAACCCATCGAAAACAATTTCAAAGAAATCCTTTTCATTTACTTTGTACTTCTTCCACATATTTATCTGGCTTTGCTCCATCTTTCAGCAAATTTAAAGTGTCACTTGCTACTGCATATACATCAAAAGAACATTAGCAGTACTATGCCATCTCAAAATGACAACTTTTTACATGGTATTGAGGGAAAGCAAATTGCAGACACTAAACTTAAACAAGCTACCTAATTACAAAAGGTTAAATGAAAAAGTAAAAAATATATCAAAACTTTTATATCACTTTACATGATTGATAAACTCTATATGATGTCTCTGCTCAGTCTTTACTTCAGCTAAAATGTAATGAGAATTGTAAATAAACTGCAGTTTTAATTTTTAGTTAAAAGCTGTGGTACCCCAAATGATTATAAAAAGAATGGAGAAAGAGGGTAAAAAATAAAAAGTAACCTTAACATAAATTGAGCAACAATCTGAAAGTTTATTCCCTGTTGAAAATTGAGCTCTACTTCTTCACTTTTCATTCCAAAGTTACATGAGATTTATCAGATTGTTGAACACATTTAAACATTATAACAAGCATAATATTGTTTTTTGTTCTTTGGTTATCTGCTAGAAGTTGTATCAGTGTGCTTTTGTCACCTTATGCTCCACTAATGATTGTTATATGAAGATTTATTTGAGGCTCGAAATATAACCCATAAATGATTGTATATTTCAGAAGAACATTGGTAGGAAGATATTCATGCTGACAACTCTAACTCATTTTTAATGTATTGACACATTAGATTTTACGTGTCGTGATATCATTCTTCATTAGTAAACAGCAGTATTTACTTTGTTTTCTTTCGGAACTACACTGACATTATTGTATATATGTACTCTTCTTAAGTGTTGCCAGTCCTGATGATTAATAACTCCATTTAAGATGTAATAATATACTGTCATTCAAGAAGTCGAACTTGAAATCAGTCCCCAAGTATGGTTTTGCATCTGAATGAATGACTTGAACATGAGGTTCAACTCTTCTGTTTTGCGTATTTATTTGGTGCTTTTGAAATCTATTCTAAGGAAAAAAAGTAAAAAGTTCAAAAGTTGCAGAACTAATGAGAATTATCTCTTTGTTCACTTAAAGGACATTGGTGACATCTTATTTTTTCAATATTTTGGACAATTAGATACATATGTTGTGATACATTTGGATTTCTTTTTTAGATCGTTTCATCTTTTTCCCATGTTGTTATGGTAGATTTTCATGTGGACTGTATCTTAAGTTCACTATGGGTGATTGGAACGTGTATTTACTTGAACATGGTATTTCTATATTCGAATCTATGGCGTTTTACATCAATATCTAAAAGCCATCACCAAGAGCTCTCTCAGTAACTTTTATCCGTGCAAGGCGATTGGACTTCATCCCAACTGATTGGTAAAAGCATGGTAGGTAAGTCACCGACTTTCAAAAGCTGAAGGTTAATAATTCAGAGATAAGTGCATTTCATGGTGCAGTTTTTGAGTTTCAAAATCATCCATATCATTAGATAAGTCCATTTCTTATTGAAGATTTATTAGTCTATCATACAATTTATTGATAGTCTCATAATAAAAGGACAAGTAAAAGTTACTAGACGATCTTTTTCTCCGTTATATTTATTTTTAATATTTTTCTCTAGCGTCCTTTATTAAGACAAAAATGTGCCCTTTAATGAACCTTACACCTATAATATTAGAATAACAGTTCAACTAGAAGATAAATTTTGGTATTCATTCATAGTAGTTATGGGTCTTTTTGTGTGTTTCATATGCAGACTTTAGAATCTTATCCCCTTAAAATGATTTTTTTCTCCAAGTATACTTCTTGAAGTAATTACATGCGCTCTGCAATTTGTGGCTTCATTTCAGTGATCTTTCAGAATAGAACAAAGAACTTATGGAAGAGTAATTCTTTTGTAGCTTATGATGATTCTATTTTCTTTCTGTAGCAGGTTTTGGCATTGCCCCTATGCATATACCCTTTTCTTGAGGGTCTTGCATATTGCAGCTTTACGATTGCTTTGTTGGTCCTTCAATGAATAGAGTATAAATCTTTCTAATGTTTGATACTGAGACATTTATGCATATTTACTTTATATACTCATCTCACTGGTTTATATCTATATATGGATAGATCAGTGCGCTTGCATTAAGTTTCATGCCTTCTCTTTGCATGACTTAGCAAATGTATCCCAACTTCATGATTCGGCAAATTGTTGACTACTTTTGCATATTTGGAGCTGGTAAGTGAAGAAGTATGGTGTCGAAAGTTTTAGATTACTTTAAACATCCACACTTATATGATAATTGTTTATATGTTAGGGTCGACATCAAGAATGTGTACTGAACAATATAATACTAACTTGCACATCGTTGCGGAGAGAAATTTATTTTATCTAAGCTTAGAGTGATTTTAGTCACTTATTTTCATTAACCTTTTTACATTCTGCAAAATCTTAAATACTCAGATCGCAATGCTACAACATTGAGTTATCAGAACAATACTGAGCTGCTGAACAATTATTCTACACACAAAAATATGTATACTTTGTGGAGCACAAGATTGGAACATGAATAATCAGAACTGGAAGCTGTTTGTTCGTGATCATTTCAGTCATTTAATTTAAGGACTTGAGTCTTGTACCTTTGCATTTTATAATAGTAGCTAGGACTAAAATTATGCCTTCTTTCTGGTTTTGAACTTATGGAGCTTAGAAAGAGGTTTGGATGTTCACTATTCTAGGAAAGTTCTACTATTGTGAGACATGCCGTTACCAAATTAACTTCAAAAACTGGTCAAAATGTGTAAATGGGAATGGGTAAGTTAAGTTGCTAGGTCGTAAAGCAAAGACCTCAACAATTTACGACTTGCACATACTGCTTATCGCTTTTCATTCTTTACACTAAATTATCAATTACAACTATGAGAGTATGATTGACAAACTGCCAATTAGTTGAAACAGCTCTGCTTCAGAAAGTTTATTAGATGGATTTTAACTTCATTGCTTTTCCATCATCTACCAGAATAGTTTTTTTCCCCTTCTTGCTCATGTTGGGCACTTGGGTCCGTGCACAGCACGGGCAACACCCTACTAGTATTCTATATAGATGTTGAGTATTTGGGAGTTTAATTGCTATTTCTTATATTTCGCATATTGTCAGGCTTACCTAGTCTTAGAGATTAGGTGCCAACACGACATCCTACGGAGAGAAATTAGGGCCGTGACAAGTTGGTATTAGAGCTCTAGGTTCATAGGTGTTATGAGTCACAAGCAAGTTTAGTAGAGTCTCGCGGATCGGTACAGAGACTTCTGTACTTATCTTCGGGAGGCTATGGAACAGTTAGGAGAAGTTTCACTTCTTTGAATCCCTATCGTGCGAATTTGTTTACTTCAGAATTCTAAATTGTCTTTTTATTCTCTCACAGATGGTGAAGACACGCATAGCTGGATCTGATGATCTGACACTCACGCCCCTGCCAGAGCAGCGAGAGGTCAGGGCTGGGGCAGAGGCCGAGGAAGGTCACGTAGTGCAGCTAGAGCACCTGCACGAGATGCTACAGAGGAGCCACCAGTAGATCTAGTTGGAGAGTATGCACCTGGGACGCCTGTTCCTACCCCTGCACTTCAAGAGACTCTCGCCCAGTTTTTGAGTATGTTTGGCACTTTAGCTCAAGCATGGTTGATTTCACTTGCTCCTTCCACATCTCAGGCTGGGGAGGAGCACAGACTCCCGCCGCCCGTACCCCAGAGCAATAGGTCCAGGTTGACCAGGTCCCGGAGGTCATACCAATGCAGCCGGTTGTCCCAGTTCAGCCGAGGTTAGGGCAGCAACTTCTGAGGGGGAGTGACTCAGGTTCTAGAGGTACAAGAAGTACCATCCTCCTACTTTCAGCAGTTTGTAGAGCTTGTGACTCGATATCACCAGGTTTTGGGGGAAAATTGTAGATGTTGAGCAGCAAAGTTTATTCTATAGAGATGTTGAATATTTGAGAGTTTAACTGTTATTTCAGTTATATTCCGCATGTTGTTAGGCTTACCTAGTCTTAAAGAATATGCGCTATCACAATATCCTACGAAGAGAAATTGGGGTTGTGACACATGCTTCTTTAATGTTCCTCATAGCCGACACCAACTCCACTACGCCGACGCTAAATTTGTATTCAGAAATCTTGGGGTAGGAAGAATCTCGAGAACCCGATCTCTCCTTGTCTTTTAATGACCTATTATTCCGGTCGCGGTCAGTTCTCCTATCGGTAGCGAAGCTATCCGCCGACCGAAAACCTCTGTCGCGTCCTTCGGCCCGTTGAAGACCGTTGATCTGTGTCAAAATCATCTTTTAATTTCTTTTTATTCTTCTCCCGATCTCGGCCTTTGGTTGATGCTGGAAAGCTGAGCTGGTCATCTTCAATTCTTATCTTTGACTCGTACTAGTTGTGAACATCCGCCCATGTTGTTGCCTGGAACTCAAGCAAACTTTCTTTCAATTTTCGGGAAGCATCAGAACTTATCGGATTCAACCCTTTAGTAAATGCCTCCACGGGCCATTCGTCTGGTACGATCGGAAGCAACATCCTTTCTTTCTAGAATCGGGTCACGAACTCTCGCAATAATTCAGATTCTCTTTGTGCAATCCTAAATATGTTGGCCTTTCGTGTCTGTACCTTTCTGGCCCCAGCATGGACCTTAATGAAAGAATCTGCGAGCATCTCGAAGGAATCTATGGAATGCTCGGGAAAGAGTGAATACCATGTCAGAGCCCTCTTCGTGAGGGTCTCCCCAAATTTCTTCAATAAGACTGACTCAATCTCATGTGGAGCCAAATTGTTTTCCGTCACCGCCGTTGTATAAGTGGTGATATGCTCCTGAGGATCTGAAATCCCATTATACTTCGGTACATCTCACATTTTGAACCACTTCGGGATCAACTCTGGTGCCGCGCTTGTTTTGAATGGCAATTGGGTGTACTTCTTTGAATCCGGTCCTTTCAATACTGGTGGTGCGCCCGCAATTTGATCCATTCGGGCATTTATTTCTCTTTTAAACCGCATGAGTTCGGTTTTACAGGGATCATTCTCATTGTTGTTATCGTATCCGCTACCATTCTCCCCGACCCTGTCAAAGCCGACTTCGCCCCTCGGGGTGTTGTTATCGACCCTCAGCGTTGTTTGATTTGCAGGAGCATCGGAGGAACTGGACCTCGTCCGTTCGCATTGTTAGAAGCACCTTAATGGCCTTTTGTTGCTCCCTTAGGATCCTTACTGTTTCAATGACGTGCTCGTCTTCAGCATCATCAGGAGTTGCCTATCTAACATATCGTGAATATTGCTTGCCATTAACCGGCGTGACCTCATTCCCCTCGTTGCGGGTATCACTGATGGAATCTTCGTGCTAAGGTTGATTTCCTTGGGTCTCAACGTTGTGTGCGATGTTGACATCGTTATCTGCCATTTTTACGTTTATATACAAGTGAATCGATTTGATCCTAAAATAATAAATAAATTAGACAAAAGATAAGACTTAGCCTTGAAGTTGAGATAAAATAGCAGAAATCCTGGTTCCAGGAGCTGAGCTTCCGGAGGCAGTAATAACAATATGAATAAGTAAGAAAGTAAAATGTTATTGAGCTTTGGATAGAATATAGCATATGCTTGTCAGAAAATTCGTGTCCTCTACAATGGTTGGGGAGCTCACTATTTATAGTTGCACCTAGGGAACAAGGTTCTAAGATCAAGCCCCTATTAAATGACAATTATGAGGGCCATTGAAAAATGTGTAATGGTAGGAAGTGAATGTCATATTCTAGGTAACGGTCCGTGACCTTAATGCTATAAAATATTCTTCATTAAATGCTACCGGGTGGCAGGTGTTTAATTCGCCTTTATGAATACCATTCTCTTCGAGATCGTTGTCTTCAGACCCAACTGTCTTCTGTCTTCGGCTCCACGTGTTGCTTTTTCATGCGATCATTAAATATGAACATATTTTACCCTATACACAGGGTCAGGTGTAACGACCCGACCGGTCGTTTTGAGAGTTAGAGCCCCGAACCCCTATTAACTGCTTTCCCCATATCTATTTCTGCTATTGTGACTTGCCGGGATGATTGGTTTTGAGTTTCGGAGTGTTTTGGGACACTTAGTCCCTAAATGAGAGCTTAAGCCTTAGAATTTAGACCGTAGTCGGAACTGTGTGAAGACGGTTCCGGAATGGAATTTCATCGGTTCCGTTAGCTCCGTTAGGTGATTTTGGACTTAGGGGTGTGTCCAGAATGTGTTTTGGGGGCTCGTAGCTCATTTAGACTTAAAATGGCGAAAATTGAATTTTTGGAGATTTGAACCGGTAGTGAAAATTTTGATATCGGGGTCGGACTCCGATTTCGGAAGTTGAAGTAGGTCCGTAATGTTGAATATGATTTGTGTGCAAAATTTGAGGTCATTCGGACGTGATTTGATAGGTTTCGGCATCAGTTGTAGGAATTTGAAGTTTCAAGTTCTTTAAGTTTGAATTTGAGGGTGATTCGTGATTTTAGCGTTAGTTGATGTGATTTGACAGCTCGACTAAGTTCATATGGTGTTTTAGGATTGGTTGGTATGTTTGGTTGAGGTCCTGGGGGGCTCGGGTGAGTTTTGAGTGCTTAACGGATCAAAAGTTGGATTTGTGTTGCTGCTGAAGTCTTCAGGCATCTGTCATTTTCGCACCTGCGGTGGAGAGACCGTAGGTGCGTGATCGCACGTGCGGAGAGGCAAGCGCAGAAGCAGATTTGGGATGTGTGGTCAGGGGTCGCAGGTGCGAAGGGAAATGCCGCTTCTGCGATGCCCACAGATGCACTAAAGGACNCGGTGGAGAGACCGCAGGTGCGTGATCGCATGTGCGGAGAGGTAAGCGCAAAAGTGGATTTGGGATGTGTGGTCAGGGGTCACAGGTGCGAAGGGAAATGCCACATCTGTGATGCCCGCAGATGCACTAAAGGACCCGCAGGCGCGGAGGAGATCGCAGAAGCGGACAATAGTCCGCAGGCGCGCACTCGCAGGTGCGGCCCTTTTTTCGCAGAAGCGGACCTAGCCCTCTTAAGTCGTTTCCGCACCTGCGAAGGAAATTCTGCAGGTGCGGCGTCGCAGGTGCGACCCAAGGTCCGCAGATGCGGAATAACTGGGCAGAAAAAGGGCAGATTCGAGGGTTTGAAGTTCACTTCACAAATTTGATTGAGAGCTCGGTAGAAGGCGGAATTTGGAGAGATTTTCGGAGGAAGTTCTTGGGTAATGATTCTTAACTCCCTTATGGTTATATTCCACTAATCTATGCTTGAATTCATCGTTTAAATTCGGATTTGGGGTGAAACATTGAGAAAAGTTCTTAGGCCGAATTTTGGGATTTTGATCGAGATTTTGGTGTCGGATTTTAGTAAATTTGATATGGTTAGACTCGTGAGTGAATGTGCTTTCATGTTTTATGACTTTTACCCGATTCCGAGAAGTGGGCCCCACGAGCGATTTTTGAGTTAATTTCGGAATTTTTGTTAAAGTGTTGATTTCATTTATTAGATGAGTCTATTATTATTGTATTTATGATATGTAAATGCTTTTGGCTAGATTTGGGCCATTCGGAGCTGGATATTCGCGGGAAAGATATTGTGACCGATTGATTGAGCTTGTTTCGAGGTAAGTGGCTTGCCTAACTTTGTGTGGGGTAAATCCCTTAAGATTTGGAACTATTGTGATATGTGAGCGCAGTGTACGTGAGGTGACGAGTACGTACACGAGTTAGTTGTCGTAAAACCCTATTTTCTTACTGAGCAGCAACATGCTTTCCTGTTATTTTGAGTTATACCATTTTAATGAGTACTAATCTATTTTCATTCTTAATTGAGTTATTCCAATATGTGTAGCTATCATGTTTAGTCTAATACAACATGTCTACATGTCTTAATTGTTTATGTGAATTATGTGAAACATGCTTAATGAATTTTCCGCTTTTTCCCTGACCGGTACTTAGTCTAAATTGTAAGAATTTTGTGATGTAGTTGTATTTCTATCATTCGCGTTGCATATTTACTTTGGTACTACGAAACGGTATTCCGGGAGATCCCCCCTGTCTTGCATATTTACTTTGGGACTACGGAACGGTATTCCGGGAGATCCCCCTGCACATTTATTTTGGGACTACGGAACGGTATTTCGGGAGATCCCTCTGCACATTTACGTTTGGGACTATGGAACGGTATCTCGGGAGATCCCGTGTTGTGTTTCTGTGTACTAAGCTGTTACCTTCTATGATTTCATTGTTGTTAAAGTTCAGCCTTTATTTTATTGCGGTATTACACTCTATATGGTTTTATTACATATTTACCAGTAGGGCCTTGACCTGACCTCGTCACTACTCGACCGAGGTTAGGCTTGGCACTTACTGGGTACCGATTGTGGTGTACTCATGCTACTCTTTGAATATATTTTTCGTGTGTAGATCCAGGTGTACCTTATCAGCCGGACTAGAAGTAAGCCAGGACAGCTTTTGGAGACTTCAAGGTATATCTGCCGCGTCCGCAAACCTCGGAGTCCCCTTATACTCTTTCTCATGTCCTTTATCTTCTGTATTTTTCCTTGTTAGAGTCTGATGTATAGAGACACTAGATTTTTTCTTCTGTAGTTTGTGATTCACGATGTTCCGGGTTTTGGAATTTGTTGTGTATTTTTGAATAGTTGGTTAAATTTATATTTATATTTTATTATTTCGCATAAATGTTAAGCTCACCTAGTTGTAGAGACTAGGTACCGTCACGACGTCACACGGAGGGGAAATTGAGTCGTGACACCAGGCATAGTGTTGGGTAAGTTTAAGAAATGGTCAGATAAATTTTAAATACTTTTCAAAGTTACTTTTAAGTCAAGTACTTTTAAAATAAACAAGCCAAAAATCATAAATTAGACATTTTTAACTTATGAATTTTAACTTAAAAAGCTCGTTGTATTAAATCGAGTATTCTTTTTTTTTTTTTTTGGTTATCCCTTAGATGTTGTTTAAAATTTTCAATGCACCGTT